GCGCATTAGCCTGAGACTGTGCTGGTAGAATTTATGGAAGAAAACATACAAATACAAACTCTTTCTTGTTCCAAGTGAGAATCTGAAATCAGTGTATATATAAGTTTGCATGTGGTGTGAAATGTGAAAGAAGAAGTTGGTGTGTCTGCACATGGCAGGTAGGGAAGGGAAGTCAAGGGGTAAGGTGCAAAGAGACATTTCTCTGTCTGCTCTCTCTTAAAGATGGCTGTCGGCTGAAGGGATTTTTCATTTATTGGGATTAGCAAATATCCCTGAAATCTTATTTTGTACTATGCCACAAGAGAGGACTGTGCTTCAGAGCCCTCCAATTTCATTCACCTCTTGGACACAGCAGCTTGCTTTCTTTGTTGTCCTGGGCCTTTGCGGCAGGAACCAGTTGAGAATTTACCTTTCCTTCTGTCTTTTTCAGCCTGTTTAGACATTGCATATCCACGGGTGCAGACCCAGGTGCTGTCAGCTTTGTCTCCAGCTTTAACTGTGCCCATCACTCATATGCAAGGTTGCATACGGAATGGATCTCACCGGGGTAACAAACAGCAATAAAAAGTAGACCCCTCAGCGGAGAAGATGAACAGCAAAGCTGATGCTGACAATGTGTTCAGCAAACTAAGTTATCTTTTTTTTTTCATTTCCCAACTTAAAGGTTCAATAACACTAACCAGGAGCTGCATTCATTTTTACCATAGGTTGTTTCACCTGCAAAGGAGCATGGTGGAACTGGACCTTCTTTCCTGGTATGTGTTACCCCTGTGTAATTACACAGGTGAACGACTGCTGCCAGGTATGATTTTCCCAAGTCCTACTGAGTTGTGAAACACTGTGAGAACAGATGAGGCTTGGAGTGCTGGGCAGCAAGGAATTCCCACACAAGTCCCTCTCCTGCCCTCATTCTTTACTACCTTTTTACAGAACACCTCAAATTACATTTAGTTGTTAGGGTCAGGATTAGGGAGAGAGATCTGGGGGTTCTGGCTGTCAATTCAACCTGCTGTCCCTAGAACCGGACAGGGGTCTCCTTCCCACCACCAACACACCAATGCTGCTGGTCGGGGAGAGCTCAGCTGCCTTATCTGCATCACAGGTAAAAACCCTCGTAGGAACAAGCTTTCGGGAGGGTACATTCCCAAAGGGTTTGTTCTTCAAGGGTCAAACAGCTGGGCAGGCAGAGGCTGACAGAGGCAGTGATACAGGCAATTACCCATTGCCACCTCTCTGCCCTCCGCAGTGAGGCTATCAGTGATTCTCACCGTTCTCTGGTTCCCCTGTGACAGTAGAGATTGCTGCTAGATTTTCGTCCTCTTTGACAGAGATTATTTCCAGATTGCAGCACTTTTGCAGCTCTACGCCCAAAGCAGTCTGTGCAAATTATAAATGGGACTTTGCGAGGCAGTGGTTTATTTTCTATTGATCTGCAGTCTCTTTTCCTCACTGCGGCAGTTAACATATCCTAAAAATGTTGGCTTGCTCTTAATGAGAACATGGATATGCTTTGCAGACTAATTTCACCATATTTCAGTTTTACAGCTAGCAGATTTATGCAGGTTTTTTTATATTATTTCTTTTTCCAAGCTGTTGGTTGCCTTAGGGAGAAAAGAACTGAAAATGTCCATATGAATCGATACAGCAGCAGAGTCAGCAGGCGGCAGCCTGTAAGCTGGAAGAGTAAGGAGATAACAGCATAACCTCCTCATAGAATCAACAGCAGGATGGAGAAGTAGTTCCCCTGGGCCTCAGCCTTTTCTCTGAAGAAGTTCTGGGCTACACACAGCCAAGGTAGATAGATGTGATACAGGCCTGTCCTGTCACTTTGCAACACACTGGAAGTGTGTGGCACGTTTGCAGCTAATGGAGAACTGGTACATGTTGGTAAAGGCTGTGCACTCTCCTTGGAGATCTCCAAAAGCAGCCTGGACACAGCCCTGAGCACCCTGCTCTGGGTGTCCCTGCCGGACCAGGGCTGGAGCAGATGGAACAGAGTTTGTGCCAGCCTCAGAAATTCTGGGGTTCTGCAACTAGACAGCAGACCAGCTCTGCTCTTCTGGGTGTGGACATACAGACACACAATTGCACCTTTCTGCCTGCTCCGCAGGAGGAGGCCAAGCCATCAGGCAGGCTGCTGGAATGGAGCAGCCCCAGCAGCATCCCGGCAAGAGGAGCTGCCCCTCCAGGAGGACACCATAAGGAGCTGATGGTGGGAAGAGAGTTATGATTTACTGCAACAAACGTGAGATGGATAGACAGAAATGACTGGCAAGACAGTGTTTCTGATTATAGCTTTAAATTTCGTATTTTTAGGGAAACGTATTGGACAACTTTTTCTGCTCTGGCCCCGCGTAGCTTGCTTTATTCACAGGCAGATATGAGAAAGTGTTAATTGCTCATACCAGCAGATTTCCCCGTCACCACAGGGGAGGGGGAAGGACTGCTTTGCCAGATATAGGCATCAGAAATAATTTCTAGTCTTCACTCACTCACCACCTAAACAAATGAGATAGAATTTGTCCTAGAAATAATGTATACTTCATGTAGGTGGTACCAAAGTACTCCTTCTGCAGCTTGCCTTCATTTTTTTCAGGTAACCTTTAATTCTGCTTTTCACATTGCTTTTGCTATATTTATGCAAATATTCTAATTCTTCTGGCTGCAGATCTGCACTGCTTTTTGTAACATGTTTCCCTGCATTTATAAAAGTTTTCACTTCCATTTTCTACCCACATAGTGTGTACTTTCTGGCTGATAGATCCAAAGGGAACATTTAGGACTTTACAAAAGAAAAAAAAGAAAAAAGAGAAAAAGAAGAGAAAGGCAAAGAAAAAAAAGAAGAAAAAGGGGGGAAGGGGAAGGAGAAAAGGTGAAGAAAAGAAAGTTCTCCATGAAGACACTCGGTAGGATTTGCTTAACATAAGCAACTTCATTGGAAAAGGGAAAGCCTCATGGTGAACTGTGTTGAGATGCCACCACACTGCACCACTTGGACCGCTAGGTCTGTTAGTATCTTCAGGATCTCTTCTGTGCTTGCTATTCTGGACAAGGTTTGTGTGCTGTGAATCTTCCTGAGAAGAGATAGGAACCAAACCGTGACACTCTCCTCACTGGTTTCACACAGAGAAAGAAGCACAATATCCATTTTTAATGAAGTTGTGGCTGTGCCACTTAATGTTGAAATTCACACAAACCTGCCTACCTGGTAAGAGCCTCCTGCAGTCAGGCTGATGGACATCCAGCTTGAGAACCTCATACAGCCATACGGTTGGGACAAATATGATGCTTTGCAGCAGCTGCAGTCTAAGTGCCTACCACAGCTGTACAGGAATTTAACAGTTTCTCTGTGGAGTGCTTGCTCAGGGGACACCTTTCAGAGCACAGAAATTCTAGTCCTAGATTTCTACTGGTGATGGTTCTACTCATTTCTGCCAGACATTACAAAAATAAAATCACAGAATTATAGACTGGCTTGGCTTGGAAAATACTTTAAAACCCACCCATTCCCAACCCCTGCTGTGAGCAGGGCTGCCCCCAACCAGCTCAGGCTGCCCAGGGCTCCATGCACCCCAGCCTTGAGCACCTCCAGGAATGGTGCACCCACAGCTCTCTGGGCAGCTTTGCCAGCACCACAACACTGAGTAAAGAATTTCTTCCTAACATGTAACCTGAATTTCCCATCAGTTTAAAAACATTCCCCATTGTCCCAGTACAATCAGGTTGTATAAACAGTCAGTCTCCCTCAGTTGGTTTGAAATAAAATAAAAATGTGAGTATCATGGGAGTCACACTGGGATTCCATTGCCACTGAAGGCAAATGCTTCTTCTGAGGCCTGCATCTAGGACAGTGTATATCTAAACATGTTCTGGAATGCAAACAGAATAGCTACTCTTTATCGGTGCTGTTTTTTGATTTTACTCTCAAAATCCGATGTTACGTAAGCATGTTTAGGTGAAACTTCCTTCCACCCACAGCTGTCTCCTGAAGTTGCACCATATGACCATATGGTGCAGGAATCTTCAAAGCTAAGACCCCTACTCTACTGCAGTAGATTGGCATAGCACTGCACTGCATCAGAAACAAAGGGATACTGCAGAACAGGCAACAAGAGAAGATATGCAAGATGCCACAAAACTGCTCAGATATATCTGTAATTCAGTGGTTGCATTTTCCTCCTTTTATACCTATACTCTGAAGGGCACAGAAGGAAACTTCACCTTCTGCATTCACATGAATGTATTTCAGAACCACAAGTACTCTCTTGGTGGTGCTATCATTTACCTTAGACTGCGTTCCTGGGGATGAGAGAATGCTGAGTTTTGACCACACACATAAATTACTGAAGAATCTCATTCCAGAGCAAGTCATCAAGATTTTTTTCCTGAGACCAAACATTTTTCTTCACTTATCAGCTTGCTTTCCTATGATATGGGAGATAAAATACTGTGACACACATACACATATATTCTGTTTGAAACAGTGACCTCATTCGCCACAGACAAGCATTTTCATCACTTTGCAATCATCCAATTTATCATTCACTAGGTGGATAATGGAATTGGCTTTCATTTGTCACCCAGTACTATTTTCAGAGTGCAGCCACACACTAACGTCGATAATAAACATCTCAAATGCCATCATTTCTGTGGTAGTTTCAATCAAAAGGTAAAAAGCACTTCTCTAAGGACTATATATATGCAGTCCATTATTTGACTTGATTGAAAAACAAGTCATTACACAAATGAATGTGATAATTATGTTTGAGATTGACCCAACACAGAAACTGACGAGAAGAGTGCATGTGAAGCACGCAGCCATTGGCTGAGTTTCAAACTTTATTATTTCTATTTAACAGATCCTTCCACCTCCAGCCAAGCAGCTGAGGGTTTTTTATGTGTGCTCAGGTATGACGTGCTGGTATGAACACAAGCTAATCTTTTAATGCTCATAATGGCAGAACAGAACACCATGAAAAACAGTCATGACAGATGTAACCTGGGATTTTTAGTCTTCATTTTATTGATTGTTTTGCAAATACATAGAAGGACTTTGATGTATAGCTTACAGAGCTTACAGTAAAACATTTTACATCATTCATTTCTTGCTTTTTCAGGGATGAAGTCAAGAAAAACAAAGTAAGTCTAACCTAGGTAACAATAGAACTCCATCTTCTTCCCAACAAAAAGCATCATCTGTCCTTGTCTCAAGAATGCTGTGAAGCACCGATAACCTCAGTGATGCCTCAATAAACGTTCTTGCATATCAGCTCTCTTACAGCCATGGAAGAAAAATGAGGATCTGCCATCTGTCTAATACCGATCATCACAACTACTGCTTAAGAGTATAGCTATGAGCCACACTTGGGTCCACAGAGAATTAAATCACTTAAAGTGTTTTAATTTCTAATCCTGCTTTACAGATCTCAGCTAAAAAAACTGGAGTCACAGCTTGTTGTAATTAGCTGGTGCACATGCAAGCATTTTCATAATAACAGTATTCTACACAAAACAATGTCCTCAAGATAAAAAGTTCAAGTGTGACATGCAGATGTGTGCACCACTGGTGTATACGGAGAGCGCCTGTTCTCCTCGCTTCCCCAGCCTTCAGCACCACATCCATCTTTGCTCTTTTGCATTACATCGATACAAACAAGAAACAGAAATCAAACATTTATCAAGTAAAAAAGCTGCTCATCAAGGGTGACCTCCAAGCTGAAAACATAATGTGTTTCACAGATCTTTGCTAATTATTCTTCCTGTTAGGGAAGAAGCAAAACATCCCCTTTTCCAGGAAACAAGAGCACAGATGACAATTCTCAAGGCAATACGTGGAGAACTGGAAAAGCTGAAGTGCAGTTGTTGGCTCCAAATTCTTTGAGCCAGAAACCAACGTCCTGAAGTCCCAAACATTATCAATCATTAGTCTTTTTATAAGCCATATATTACAGACAATAATGGCTTCTGTGCGTATGCCAGCAAAGCATAGTTCTACAGAAGAAGCAGCATAAACTTGATGCCACCCTCGGAAATTTCTCCCATACACTATATATCCCAATAATTACATGCTGTAATTACCTAATCAGTTCTATGACTAGCATAACAGAGATAATTGCAACAGAACAACATTTATTTTGTGGATTTCTCTGAGACTCATCCCACTACGTAAATACATTTTTTTCCTGGGTAAACTACTATTGACTCCCCTCTCCTGTACACAGTTTTTATATACCCTTAAAAACAGCATCCATTCAGAGTGCTCCCCACAAAAGCTTTAAATGACAATGAAAAAGAAATCTTCAGAGATCGCATCCACCCAACTCTTTGGCCTGAAGGCAATGTTAGGCATCTTTTACTGTGTAAAGCACCACAAGGGTCAGAATTGTCACTGACCTGTTTTTCTGGAGTGCGGCAGAGGTCTCTATGCTGCTCTATCTGAAACCAACACTGTTTCATAAATCTGAAAATCACCCTTTGTTACACAGAGACTTAATCTGCAAAACCTCTGTGAACAGAAATTCAGTCTGCACCTTAGATTGTTCCACAGAAGTAGAAGTAGCCAAACTTTAAGAAAATTATGAGACTGAGGGAATATCACAGAGAGTAGATAGAGGAAATATGGAAACCAAAGCTAGGTAAAAATGCGTGCTAATCCTGGATTAAGGTATTCTGGAACACTTTGATCAATGCAATCTCATGTCTTGCATACAAATTAGCTATTAAAGAAATCACCTGCAAACTGTGGAACATTAGAACGTATCTAGTGTATGTACAAGACATTTCTTTTCATGGGCTCAGCATTATAGCCTTGCCTACACATTCAACCTATTCAATGGCCTACCACCCACTACTACATATTAGATCAAGTCATATAACTTAGTTGTTATGGGATTATTTTTGTATTAGCATGAAGGCGCTAAAACAGGTATTTTGTTTATTCCTTTGTGTGAAAAACAAGAACATATTCTGTTATTAACAAGAGATTATCAAAGAACTGCTTAGCAGTTATATACAACTAAACAAAAGTAATCTCTCAAATCAATACAGTTGAACTGCTATAAAATCCATGTATGGGTCAAGTCTAATTTTATAACTATCCCATGGAAAAGTAGTATTTCTCATTTTAGAATGGAGAAGTGCAGCACATTTTTCCAGTGCAAGGTTACCAGTACAGTCCAAAGGCTAGTAATAGAGCTAGACATTGCAGGAATTTCATATCTGGTTCCCTGAAAATTATTATATGTCTTCTACACATGCACTGAAAGCCTTGTCCACACAGTATTAGAATGCCCTTCTACACCATGATCAGATGATTAGGCGTCTGGAATATCTCCCCTACAAGTACAGGATAAGAGAGCTGGGGCTTTTCAGCCTGGAGAAGAGAAGGCTTCAGGGGGACCTTATAGCAGCCTTGCAGTACCTGAACAGGGCCCACCGGAAAGCCAGGGAGGGACTTTTTATAAAAGACAGGATATGGGGAAGTGGTTTTAAACAGGAAGAGGGTAGATTTAGACTAGATATTATAAAGAAATTCTTTATTGTGAGGGTGGTGAGACACTGGAACAGGTCACCCAGTGAGGCTGTGGATGCTCCCTCCCTGGAAGCATTCAAGACCAGGCTGGATGGGGCTCTGAGCAACCTGGTCTAGAGGGAGGTGTCCCTGCCTATAGCAGGGGTTGGAACTAGATGATCTTAAAGGTCCCTTCCAACCCAAACCTTTCCATGATTCTATGACCATATCCCAACACTGCCTATTGCATATATGAAAGGCATATTTCTTCATGCATATACTGTTTACACACTTAATCTGTTCCTGTTCTGACATAAAACATACATCACGAATTATTTTCACTGAAGGGCCTTAGGTGTTCCTATTTAGATGAATGACAGAAATCATCCTATCTGGAAATGACACTATCTTAGTAAGCATATATTTCCCATAAATTCATGCTCTGTATAAGGAAGACCTATTGTGCTAATAAGGGGTGAGATCTAGTGCAGTCATAACTACGTTACTGATTTGCAGAAATAGTTGTCCATAATTAAGAACAGAGAAAATAAGATCTGAATCAAATAGCAGAAGCTGACTTATACTTTGATTGTCTCATGGTATGCCTTCTAGTTATCATGAGTTTGGGTTCCAAACTCTGTAGCTGATTCTCTGATCAGCAAGTGGTGCAAAGTTATTGTTTTTGCTTTTAATCAACTGTATTCACTTCTGAAGAAATCTCCCAGATGCCCACAACATTTTTGTCCCCTGCATCTCTGTGTAACACTGGAAGAACAAGCCTCACTCCAGAAACAGTCTTCATTTGCCTTTGAATGGAGGTTGGAAGAAGGATTCTAACTGCATTAAGAGTGGGTTCAGATGGAACAGCTGTACAGCTAATCAATTGTCTGCAGGGGGACAGAGACATTTTATCTTCCTCCTGCAAACTATCCCCATTCTAGCTTGTACAGTTTAAACAGAAGGGTTAGAGGTGGACTCTGGGAGGTGTCTTAATGACAACAGACACAGAGGAAACAGCAGATACATTCAGGGCTAAGGACCCAAATGTTTCCATTGATACAAAAAGTTTTGTCAAAGACTTATTCAAAAGTTCAGGAAAAGAGAAGTCCATATTACTGATGTCTTTCTTTAGCTGCATGCATTTGCTATACGCCGCTCCACAAGAAAACCCACACCTTTAGAAGAGAAAGAACATAGTGCTGTAGTTACAGAATGATAGGGTGATCTGTAAGTTCAGTGACATCAGCAAAAGCAGAGGCAAAAAAGATTGCATGGTCATTTTGTGAATCTCTGTAAAAAATGTACTATTTGGCAGTGAGACTACAAGGCATTTTTTCTGACAATGTTCACTAACTTCTTAGTATAACATTATTTGAAATCTTGGGAATATACGCACAATTCTATTAAAATTGGTAATGCTATGGAAGAAAAATTCCACTTAGGCTGATAATCACAGCCTGAGCTTAACTATCTGGAAACTACCTACAAAGCCCTTAAATCAAATAAAAAAAGAAAAGAAAGAAAGAAAGAAAAAAATAAAACTGCAAAACAGTCATCGATTCCTCTTCACTGAGCTTCCATTTCGAAACAAGCCTTCTAGCAAGTCATGCCCAGATTCTGCTGCAGGTTTAAATCTGCCTCATTGGTATCAGTTTTGGTGAAACCTAGCAAGGAGAGAAAAAAAAACAGAACAGTTGGCATACAGATACAGCAGTACAACTCATAGTTCACTTTCACCTCTAATTACATGCTACTGAAGAATGAAGACTTAAACCCATATACTGGAGGTATTTCAGGGATCAACACTTGCACCACTAAACCTTCTGATGTATAAGTATGGGACATTCGTGGTGCTAGTATCTAGTCTTTAAACTTTATTTATTTTGAGTTGGCTTCTGGTTTAAGAATGCAAGTAAATTAAATCTGGACAGATGAATCTGCTTGACCCTGATAACTGTGTGGCCTTCTTGTATGGCTTCCAAGAAGGTATAGCTCAGGTCAGGTGAAGCAGTTACTCAATTACAGTGTACAAGATGGTATGAACATATAAAAAAAATAGCTAATATATTGGCCAATAAGTGGTTATAGTCTGTGTACAGTGCTTGCCATGAACAGCAATCTGACAGATAGCTTGAGGCACAATTGCTTCAACTATCATCTCCTAATCCACTTGTGATAACGTACCAATACATTGAACAATGCAGGGGCAAATAGGTGATACCCAGTATATGACTGAATTATCAGAGAAGTGTAAAGCACACCAAGGAATCCTATAATAATAATTACACCTTTTTACTCAGTAGCCAAGTTCATTGTGGCTTTCATCCTGACACACCTAGAGAGAAGATGCTGTCTATCAATGATAGGTCTGCTCAGAAGGAGTTAAACAAGTTGTGGAATGTGCATATTATCAGACAATATACAATCAAATGTATATGTTTACTAATTTTAATTTTTTTGCTTTAAAGTTGCCTTCTTCCATTCATTGGTTCAGAAAGTGGGAACTAGGAGAGTGATCTCCCTCCTACTGTAAGCAAATGTTCCTACTCCTACTGTAATCAGGTTCGTGACCACCTGAGGAACCTGAATGTGCGTAAGTCTATGGGTCCTGATGAGATACACCTGAAAGTCCTGAAAGAATTGGCTGCTGTGGTCGCCAAGCCACTCTCAATGACACCTGAAAAGTCACAGTGGTCAAGTGAAGTTCCTGGTAAGTGGAAAAAAGGCCACTCGATATGCATTTTTAAAAGAGTAGAAAGGATGACTCAGAACTACAGACCTTTCAGCATCAACTCAGTGCATGGAGGATCATGGAGCAGATCTTCATGAAAGCTATGCTACGGTACTTGAAAAAGAGGACCGTGATACGAGATAACCACCATGTCTTCACCAAGGGCAGGTCCTAACTGATCAACCTTGCCACTTTTAATATGGGCACAACTGCATCAGTGGACAAGGGAAGAGACACTGATGTTATCCATCTGGACTTTAGTAAGGCCTCTGACACTCCAAACTTCTCACTTCCCTCCAAACTGCAAAGATATGGATTTGACGGGTGGACTGTATGACGGACAAAGAACTGGTTATGAGATCATTCCCAGAGAGTGGAGGGTGATGTCTCAATATCCCAGTGACATCAGTGACAAGGTGGTGTCCCTCAGCAGTCACTGCTGGCACAAGTGCTCTTTAAGATCTTCATCAGTGACACTGACAGTGGGGTGAAGTGCATCCCCGCCAAGCTTGCAGATGACACCAAGCTGTACAGTGCAGCAGACGCACCCAAGGGATGGGATGCCATACAGAGAGATCTAGATACGCTGAGCAGTGGGCCCAAGTGAACCTGCACAAATCCAAGTGCAGGGTCTTGTGTCCAGTTATTGGCTCTCCAGTTAAAAGAAGGACAGGGATTTTCTAGGAATCCAGTCACAAGGCCACAAGGTTACAAGGATGATTAAGGGCCTGAAGCAATCCCTGTGCGAGAAAAGGCTGAGTAACTTGGGTATGTTCTGGCTGTTGAAGAGAAAACTCAGTGGGGATGTGCTGTCACCACTGCTTAAACATACTCCCACAATTTCACTGTGCTCACATCCACTCTTTGGTCTCCAAGAAATGTTCAACAAGTGTTGATGAATGTCAGGGGGTGCCATTTTTCCAAGCACAACGTTTTGCACCAGGGTCATGGCAACCCCTGCTATCAGTACAAGCTGGGGGACACCAGGATGGAGCACAGCCCTGATGAAAAGTCTTGGTAGATGGTGGTGGTAGATGGCAGGCTGGACATGAGCCAGCTCTGTGGCCTCGCAGCCCAGAAAGCCAACCATATCCTGGGCTGCATCAAATACTTGTGGTCAGCAGGTTGAGGGAGATGATTCTATCCCTCTACTCTGCTCCGGTGAGACCTCACCTGGAGTACTGCATCCTGATGTGGAGTCCTCAGCACAGGAGGGATGTGAAGCGGTTGGAGTGCATCCATAGGAAGGCCATAAAAAATAGGAAGGTCCAAAGAAAGTAACACTTTTGCTATGAGAACAGGCTGAAAGAGCTAGGGCTGCTCAGCCTGTAGAAGGAAAGGCTCCAGGGAAACCAGATAGCAGCTTTTCAGTAACTAAAGAGACAGTGTAAGAAGGAGACAGACTCTTTCACAGGGTCTGTGATGACAGAACAAGGGGAAATGGTTTCAAACTGAAAGAGGGGAGATTTAGATTGGTTCCATGAAAAAGTCTTCTACAGGGAGGGTGACGAGGCATTGGAACAAGTTGCCCAGTAATGTGGTTGATGCCCTGTCCCTAGAGATATCCAAAGGCCAGGCTGGCCCAGGCTCCAAGCAATCCTACCTTGCAGTAGATCTCCCTGTTCATTGCTGGGGAGTTGGACTAGATGTCTTTTAAGGGTCCCTTCCATCTCAAACAATTCTGATTGTACAATTCTAATGTTGTAATTCTATGCATCTGCAAAATCCATTTGTTGTACTGGAAGGTCTCCAGCCAATGAAAAATAAATAAAACACAGTAAGCTTAAATAGAGAGGATGAAGAAAGAAGGTGTAAGTGGAAGCAATACAGAGCAGACTTTGGACTTCATTGTTAGACATGACTGCAGGCCTGCACTACATCTTGAGGAAAACCTCTCCACAGACAATCCAAGCCTCACTAAATACATCCTGTTTTCAGCCTTATTTATATAGGTTCCCCAGGATGAGATCTGAATCAATTCATGTGATCTTGCTTGTTCAGGATGACAGACAGTTCCACAGGTAGCGGGCTTCCAGTTGGTTAGTTTGTCCCACTGAAACACAATATACTGTGCTCCTGCCTCCTTATCCCATCTTTTTCACTTAACGGTACTGAACAATTCAACTTACTAAAGAATGATATACAGAGGCCTTTTTCACGCATAGGAAGGTTGTATTTCCAGTACGAATTCAATTTCTAAGTTATCCTTCCTCTAGCCACAAAATGTCATCACTTTCATTCTTATGAGAATAGTCATCAAGAAAAGCTTAGTTCATGAATGTGTTTACTATATCAAATGCTAATGAAATATTTTCAGTGGATGGAAACCGTTTATTGATTTTACAAAGTTCTCTGTGAACTATGATAATAAACAGATGTAGAAGTTACAAGTGTAGAGGAGCTGGAAAAGTTTCCTGAGCACATAAACATTCCCAGACAGTTCCAGAAATGTTTCAACATTTCCAACTCAAAGCAGGTATGTGCCTCACTTAATTTGGGCCTCACCTACGAATAGTGGCATTGAGGAAAACACTCTTGCTAGAGGATGAAGACAGCACCATTAAAACTTGAATACTGCAATGGCAAAAGACAATTATTGGAGTAGGTTATTGCTTTTCTCCCGTCATAGGGTTGGTACCATCAAAACCTCTAGTGTTTTACATTTCAATGAGCATACTACATTAATAGCACTGTCTGCACATTTGATGCTAACAGCTGTCATTTTTGCGCACCACTATTCACCTCTGAAAAGGTCTGATCCCCAGGAGAGTGAAGTGCCACAGTGTCTGCTGAACATAACAGAGGTAATGAAAGACCATACACTACTGGGAACTGGATGCAAATAGAATTGTTTGCTTTAAATAAATCCGGTTAAATAACCAAAAAAAAAAAAAAAAAAAAAAAAAGCCAAAAAAAAGCCCCCAACCAACCATCAAACCCAAAAAAACAAAACGGTAACACAGGAAAGGAAAACAAGTCTCCAGTGCAGAAAGCCCTCTGAGCACGCTGCTTTAAATCGCAGCAGAATCATCCAATCAGCACAGATTTTGATAAAGGTTGAACATGCTTAACAATGGCTATTTCACAGCACAAAGATGCATGTTTATTACTTTCTTATAGTACATCCTAAGCAGCACACTCTTAGTATTATTTCACTTGCTGGAATTACAGCTCATCTTGGATGTTTCAACATGCTTTGCTGATGTTTAACAGGCAGGTGAATGGGCAACAGTATACTTTGTGGTCTGGTTTGCCTCAGACTTGTAAGAGGATGACTGTAGCTGAGGATTCATGGCCTCAGGTACTCCCAATGCTCCCAACAACTCAAGCTTGTTGACTTCCAGAATTCCAACACACAACATGTCCATGGTTATTTCATTATGTTTATCTACACCAAGCAAGTCTTTCAAGGCCTGATCCTGAATGGTGCTGAGTCCTAATAACTTCCAGTGTTATTATCAGGAGTAAAAAAGCAAGTTATTACCTTTTAAGAACTTTCTGTAAAGCTGAGCACTCATTATTACAAAAATCTAAATAAAAATAAAATCTACAAATTATGCTTTCTCAGTCTCTGCTTTCATGGTCTCACCAAAGGTATAAACAAGTACAAGCCAAATATATTTACCTGTTAAGGCAGCCTATTTCCTAAGGAGCAACAATTCTCATTTAAATATACAAGATAAGCCAATGTGTTGCCTTCATAACACAGTAGAATTCAGGGTGAATTTTTTATTTTACAACAGTCTACAATCAAGACCCTTGATTCTAAATCCTTTCCTTTTTTTAAAATGGAAACATACAGCAAAATGTGTCTCAAAAAGCCATAAGGACTACAAAGCTCTCCAAAAAGAAGTAGTTGCATAGGGAGATGTAGTTACATATGAAGGTATAGTCATTCCTTAGTCAATCCCATAGTTAAATCTATGCTTATTTTAGTTTAGATAACTCTGCATCCACAGAGAAAAGCTGTCAGGAAAGGGTCAGCTCCTTATTTTTTACCCATTAGTTCTGTTTCAAACTAGCAAAACGAACCAAGGAAAAAATCTCTGCATTTACTGCTGTAATATAGTATCAATGAAGTTTCTATCGCCAGTACAAATGAGAACAAGATGTCTCATTCAGGGAACATAAATAATCAAAGCACAACTGTTACTCTTGCAAGGGAGCCTGAGGCAAAGTCTTGAAATGTGGAAAAAAGACTAAGGATACTATTTTCTGAACAACTGTCTACCACAGTGCTCAAATCGCTGTTCTTTCAACTTCAAAATTAAGCTAGGGATCTGCACCTGCTCACTGTATTAAAATCAAGTTCTAAATCTAGCATCATGCAAGGGTGACCTAGTCTTGCAGCCACCAATGCCAATACAATAGCAGTTTTGGTGAAGATTTCAATGACAGAAGGACAGGGTCATTGTGACCTGGAAACATCCTTTAGGAGGGAAAGGAACAAAAAAAAACGTGGGAGAAAGGAAGAGCTAGTGCTTTTCCAAACCACTGCTTTAGTGAACAGATCATTCTGGTTCATTCTGTGTGTTTGCAGAGCTATAGAAATTTCAGGCATTTTTAAGGAACTATGGCCCAACAGGTAATGCTGACCCACGCACATATTCTGGCAGAGGTCAGCACAGTACGTGCTTTGCAAGCATTTATGGAAGCTGCTTGCTTTCAGATAAACACAGAAAAGTGTACAAGCCAAGGAGCATCTACACTTTTCATGCCCATAACTGTCCTTTAGTGCAGCTCATGATTTCATCATGACCAAGGCAGCTACACAAAGCAGATTGCGGTGGAGTTTGTCTTCATGAAACAGGAAACAGGTGGCTGTGAAGTGACCCCTCTAGAGCCTGGTGAGACAGATTCCAGAACAAAGACAGCATTACACTGCTCACCAATTGCTAACTTCAGGCCATCCTTAAAATTCAAATTTTATACCATTTCTTTGTAACATTTACAGGGAAATGCTAATGGCTCAGTGAGGTGGTGCTAATTCTTTCTTAATAGTCCTAATAGTCTTGCCATGTGCTACTGCAAAGCTTTTCTCTGCTAGCCCATCGTTTTGAGCTATTCATTTCTTTCCCTGAATACTCTGGATCCTTCTGCTTCAATTGCCTCCATCACAGGCTGGAAATTACTTCCGGTAATACCAACTCCCATATACATACATACATACATAGATCCTCTGAATCAAAAAGAAACCAACTCCTTCCAAAAAACAGGTTCAAGACTGTGAAAATCCTTCTTTGTTTTTTTTTTGGCTCAAAGCTTGCTTCCTGAGGTATTTCTTTTTGTAAGACTGTGATTGATTTGTTGAGGAGCCAAGTGATGGGTGCTAACCGTGTGACAATCGACATCACTTCAGGAATATTTGAAAGCCCCCTCCTCCAGAGCTGCTTGCCTCTGGAAGAGAGTGCTCAGGAGTGTTTACGGGCGGAAGATCTGGCCTGTGACTAAACAGCTCCAGCTAGGTATGGGAAAACTGGGGAATGATAACATCGTGTTCTGTGAAAAACAGGATGCAGATGGGTATCCCTGCTCCCTCTTATCTGCTTGCAAGGCCTGGAAAATGGGAACAAAGGAGTTTCCGCTGAGATCCCAGAGCCAGAAGCTGCCACTCCGAGGAAAGCTGACTCGACCACTTTGGATTTGAGCTGTCACTCCAAAGACAGCTGACTCGACCACTTTGAAAGCATTGAAAAGGGGCCATCATTGCCATAGTCCTCGTTCTCCTAGTCGTCATCAACAGAACAATGCCCAATGACCCACCACTACTGAAGATCAAAGACTGAACTACGAACCACACTGCATCCATGGTGGCGACTATCTCTTGCTTCCTATAAAGACTCCTCGCTTCTTCTTTCCTATCTCTCTCTTTCCCTTCCCCATTACCCTAACTCATAATAGTGTCCATCCTCCCTTTCTCTATTTCCCTAATTAAGATTTGTAATAAACTGGTTGGACCAACATTTGAACTGTTGTTTCTTAATCTCACACTGGGTATACAGATGTTAAAAAAGAACCTCCTCTCCCTCCTATAAATTGGAGTGAGACGAAGACATGTAAGAGCTGGCGTCTCCTTACAACAAAGTCATTCTCCACGGTTTCATTCTATGCATATGGTTACTAAACACAGCACCTTTCAAATTCAACCTAAAGTTAATCCTCAAATTAAATACATCAGCAATCTTGTAAAAATGTGCTCTAGGTCTGGAAACTGCAAAGAGGAATATTTCTATCCTTCATTATCAAGTATTCCCAATTACCTTCACAAGACAAGTGTATATTGTCAAATTCACAATCCTCACAAAAAAAAAAAAAAAAAAAAAAAAAAAAAGCTGACCTCTCCGCCAGATTTACAATACAGAAGAAAAAGCTTTATTGTATGAATGCATGAGGCCATGAAGAAACTACGTTTGTTATTGACCACACATATGGAATCAGTTATGTTCCACTGTACTTTCTACTAGTAAGTCAGTTTTGTGTTAACATTAAATGATATTTAAGAAAGAATGTAAAGGTAAAGAAATCAGTGGCTTTATGGATTAACGACAAGGCAATGTAAAAGGAACAACTGTATTTGTTTGTAAAATGACTTACTGTGAAGTCACAGCCAGTGCTTTTCTTGATATCATCCACTGACAGTCCTTCCCAGATTTCCACAAGGGTGAGTCCCTTTTTCTTGTCCACATCAAACACAGCCTGTCAGGTTCAAATAGCACCAAATTAATTTTTATTATTAAAAAACTGAAGATCCAAGTAGTAATATCGTACAAATCAATTTGCTAAAAAGAATTTCTTCAGTAAAAAATGATACCATTATCAACTGGTTTCACATTTCAGACTGACCAGTAGAGATTTATTCATACCTGAAAGAATCTGAAGTGTAAGATGTGTTGATTTTGTGGGAAAAAATGGGCAACTGCTCTTCACTGCATGAAATAAGGACAGTGTCTCCTGCTCTGATGTGGTGAGAAATGCAAGATGCAAGGGAAATGGCTGAGACATTCTTTGCTACAAGACAATGTCCGCCAAGAGGTAATGAAAAAAAACAGGGAAAGCCATCCTCATTCTTTTGTTTTGCTTTTAGGACTATAGGGAGGTAAATGGTGGCTGATGAATTTATCAGATGATCAGCACCTCCAACAGCTATTAAACATTACAAATTTTAGTTTTTTTGTAGCTAGCTAAGAAAGAGAAATTTTCTTGTTCTATTTTTAAAATGAATCCTCAGGTGATGTAGCTGAAGGAGCCTTTTCCCTGATGCCTTCCTAAGACAAGCTTTCCACTTTGAAGTCTCTCAAGCACGGAAGAACACCTGTAGAACAACACACACTATAATGGTGCCCAGAGAATACACAGGTTGCAAGCTAGCTGCCACAAAAACCACCAAGTCTACATTCATTTTCCTAAAATAAAATAAAATTTTAAAAAGCCAATAGCAAAAGTCCAGTGAAAATTGAACTTGGAAGGAAAATGGTACCAGAGAGCAGTGTTCCTCAGGGTCATTACTAGGAATGGATTTATTTAATACCATTGCTAGTGGAATGGACAGTAGGATGGAGTGCACCCTTAGCAAGTTTTCAGATGACATCAAGATAAGCAGTGTGGTTGACATGCTGCAGGAAAGGAATGCCGCCCAGAGGAACTTGACAAGCATGCAGGGTGGGCCATATGAACCTAATGAGATTCAACAAGGCCAAGTGCAAGGTCCTGCACCTGGGCTGGGGCAAACTCAAATATGAATACTGGTAGGATGATGAGTGGATAGACAGCTGCCCTACAGAGATGGACTTCACTGCTTCTGGTAGATGAAAAACAACATGAGCCTGAAGTACACACCTGCTGCCCAGAAAACCAGTTGCATGTTGGGGTTATCAAAAGAGGTGTGACCAGCAAGGCAAGGGAGATGATTGTCACCCTCTGCTCTGGCTTATGAGAACCCACCCAAAGTACTGAATTTAGGTCTGGGCCCCCCAGCCCAGAAAGACATGGGGTGATTGGAGCGAGTCCATTGGAGGTCCATGAGGGTGATCAGCAGGTGGGAGCACCAAACCTATGAACCTTATAGCAGCCTTCCATTACACCAAAGGGCTATCACAAAGTGGAGTGATAGCACAAGGTTTAGTGTCATTAAACTAACAAAAAGGTAGATTTAGATTAGATATTAGGACAAAATTCTCAGCTATGAGTACTGTTGAAGCACTGGAACAGCTTGCCTACAGGAGCTGTGGATGTGCCTTCCCTGGAAGTGTACAAGGAAAAGTTGGATGGGGCTTTCTGCAGCTTATTCCAATGGAAGGTATCCCTGTCCATGGCAAGAGGGCTGGAACTAGGTGGTCTTTAAGGTCCCTTCTAATCCAAAGGATTTCATGAATACTATGGGACTGAAATTGTACTTCTGAGTCTTAAAAGAAAAGCTGAATTTAAGGAAAACAGACACTAGGAAGCTAGCGATGAAACAGTCTATAATACAATCTAAATAGTGTTGTACATTTGTGTCATCCTTCATTAAACAGCGAGACCTGATGAGCACTGTGGCTCAGAAATTTTCTGCACATTTTTATTTGTCAGTCCTTGTTCAATGCCAGTTTTCTACAGAAAAACATCCACATTTTCATTTCTTCTCCCTTTGTTTGTAGAGGAAAACTTTAAATGACAGTAGCAATACTCCACTGAGAGAAAACAAATTCTGCATCAGCACTTTTGAAGCATTCTACTTAGTGTGACAGATGGCTCACAGAGGGATTACTCAAAGCCTTTAAAAATGTACACATTGATAATAAAAGGAATATGATTACAGCAAAAATCCTAAGTCACGTACGCTGCTGAAAAGATCCACTAATGCACTTTGAACACTGGCAATATCAAACAGACTTGCACTGGACAGTAAATCGCTTCACAAATGCAATCAAGTGAAAGCAAAAGATAGCAACAGGACAGATCATGTGTCTAAGTTTGTAATATATACCAAGAAAGATGCCAGTTACCTGACATGAACATTTGAGGAAAACGTGCATTTCATGATTTGCATCTTATGAGGCAAGTTTTCAGGTATACTTTGGAAAAAATAACCAAACATGTTCCTTGCATATTTCTCATGGATAGCATCTCTGTTCTGATGGTCACTGTGATAACCATCCAACATGATGTAATCAGTGAAAGATTTAAAAGGAAAATATGAGCCAACGTGTCTCTGGAATTGAACTCAAAAGGAGTCTTTGTCCTTCACAAGCAACAGATACTGAATATATTCTTTATTTTTACCACACTTTTTACTGCTTTCACTTAGTGTCACTGAGAGGAGAAAAGAATTGAAAAGAATTCAAGAAAAGAACTTTACCTTCTCTGTAATGATGCGATTTACACATTGCTTCCCAGTAAGTGGTAAACTGCATTTTTCCAAGATTTTATGGACGTTACCCTGCGTTTAACAGTATACAAACAAATGTTAATTTTAAAAAACAGTGCAACTTTCTCTGAATTCAAGTATGTACATTAAAAAGGAAAACCACAGCTGCAAGCATTCAGTGTTATTGAAACATTCACTGCACTCAGAACATTATCTGAACTCACTTTCATGGCAGATTACAATGCTGACAACTTGGAACAGTTCTAACTGAAGCCCTGACTATAATGAGATGTCGAATAAGATTCTCAGTGTACTACTCAGCGGCTCCTGAGTTTAGAAGTTCAATAATTTCCTCTTCTACTGCAGTGTGAGGATAAGTCACACATGGGACCTTATTGATGACATGTAAAGGTTAGAGAATGACATTGTGAACATAACATTACTCTGCCTCATTTATTATAAGCAATATGTGCAGGACCAGCCATACTCATAGGCATTTTGAACCCCTATGGCTCACGTGCATACTCACGCTTTGAAAATAGTAAGGCCAGTTTCTTTACCCACATTCCATTTCCTTCTCCTCTGTCACTCTAGAAAAGCACAAAAGCAGACTAGGAGATGAGCAAGATATGCTCATCTTCAAGTACTATAAGAGAAGCTACACTGCCTTTACTTTTGTCAGTACCAATCAGCCTATAAATACAGTACAAAGTAATGCGTATAAAGAGATCAGGACTTGCTTTAAGATGCTTCCCTTCCTAGATATCAAAAGGTAGCTACTTTAGATAGTGGGTAAAATACTGCCTACTGAAAAGGCATAGCTACTGACACAAAGCTGGATGTATAAGGCTTAGGTGCTTAGGTCTGAGGGGTTTTTTGTTTGTTTTTCCTCTATCAATTTCCAGTTATGCCTTTCAAAACTCTTGGAGTATTGCATGTCTCATTTAACCATGTGAATGCAATACTTTTTAAAAATGCAATCATCAATTTGCCTTAAGGCTTAATATGTTAAATATTTTTGTTATATATGATAATAATAATATATATTATTTATATATTACATATTAAATATATCTTCGTTTTATTCCTGAGTAAAAACAAAATGGACTTGCAGAGATGACAGCTTGAGTGGCTTCCATGACCCTTAAAAGTGATACATTCCAGCTTCTTAACATTTGAGATGAACGTTATTGTAGCATGAAAAGTGGCTTTCAGAACTCATCCATCAGGGCATTATCAGTATGGGAATCCAAGTGGAATTGCAAGAATTTTTACTATCTGAATTTATACAGTATTTATTCAGATAAATGAAGAAAAGTTTGTTGTGTAGATCTCCACAACCTCAGGCTGTTTCATTCTGCTTTAAATACGTAGGTTGCTGGGAAAGTAATGCCTCCTGTTTATTTCCACGGTAACTACAACAGACATGAAGAATAGCTACAAAACACACTTCTTCATCATAGTCGCCATCATTAGCTATGCATTTTCGCTGGATAATGAACAAGAACTTGCATGCCACTCTTCTAAAAATCAGTATGGCCATACAGAACGCAGCTTCTTTCACGTCACTGCTGAAACACATCACCCACTGCCTCACTGTGCTCCCATCCACTGTTTAGTCTCCAGAAACATTCAGCAAGTGTTGATGAATGCTGGTGGTGCCATTTTTTCTGCATGGAGGAATTCACTGCCACACCTTTGCTTCATACACACTTCCATGTCAGATGCCATTCTGTTAGACTGCCCCTCTGCTGCCATCTGTCACGCAGCAACAAAGTGGAATGGGATACTGGTGGGAAGGTTTGTTCTCTACTGCCATCACCCAGCTCTAATGTTGTGTACCAACATAATAAAATAGGAGGCATTAATTTTGGAGCAGTCCTCAAAAATTCTGCTGCATTTTTAATGGACACTTTTATGGACAAAAAATACCATAGTTTTGTACAACATATCAAAACAAAAACTAATCACAATGATGGAAAATCAGTGCCCCGTGTTTCAGTCATGACTAAAGCACACGCTTAAAAATAGTTTCCATTATACTGTTTTAGTTGTGTAGTCAAGTCATTATGGCACCTGAAAGTCATTACGCCATCTGAAAGTGACCAGCACTTTATGCTATTTTGCAAAGTACATCGATAACAGTGTGGATGTAAGGACTTCTATATCTTCTGGCAGTATTTACCAGACTGGGCACAGGTGCACAGTGACTGTTCAAAGATTAAATAACAACACTAAATTCTGGTCTTTACAGTTAACCAAAAATCAATTTCACAAAAAATACACAAGAGCTATCATAGTAAATTAAACTGAATCCATCATCCAAGTGTCTTGCAGTGGCCTAAACAGATAGAGGAAAAATTGAGCCACCCTTCATCAGCTATTCCCTCCTGGTTCATGACACGCTGTGATGGTTAGGCTTTCTAGGCTAGCAACTGCTTCTGGGCAACACTATTTAATTGTCACTGGCAAACTCATAAAATAGTTTAATCCCTTTCATATGGGTGTAATGCTTTGAGCTCCAATAACATTCTGCTAAAGATCCACAATTTCATTAGCTGACTCTGAAAAATACTTCTTGTTTCAAACCTGCTGGTTGCTAGTTTCTATAGTTTCAGTTGTCTACCCCCCATTTTTTTTTCTTTTTCCAATAAGGCAGTGACTAGCCATACTGCATCCGTACCTTCATTATCCCTCATATTTCTACTCTGTCTCACTGATATTTCTTACTCTGAATTTTTCTACATGTCATTTAAGTCCTGTCATTTTTCTTCTGTATCTTTCAGCTTTCATGAAATGTAAATATTTAAGTTATCAAAAATTAAAATATTTGGGAGCAAAGGATGTTCATTATTATTCTTAATATATTGCATATCAGAATAAATTATTTGGGTGGTTCCTTGAGTGTGAAGAGAGATACCAGTTTCACCCTCATAATTTAGTGTTAATTGTATTTTGTCTGCACTGGATTCAGCCTATTGCTAAGTTTGAAAATTGCAACATGCATACTCAGGATATATTCTGAGCAATGTTTAACAAGCTGTCGCTGTTATATATAAAACAAACAAACAAACACCAAGAAGTACAAAAAGAGAAAAAACAACACTTGAAAAGGATTAAAAGATCCATTACAAGATGACAGATCAAACAAAGCTAACTACTACAACTATTTATTATTGCATATATCCTGTGGCTTTCCACTGTATTTCAGTCCATCAGACCTTGACTCACATTTATTTACTGGAGGCTTTAATGTCTAATGATAAATTTCTTGTTATTTATTTGGAAAGTAATACAACAACAATGTCCCTAATTAAAGAAGCCTGCAGATAAAACAGATTCCAACAATACAGGCATACATTTCTTTTGCTCAGTAGCCCACCTGACTCTTGGGAAGAGGAAAGAGGGCTCATCTAATGCTTAGGTATGGTTAAAATTACAATTTGTGAGAAAATCTTCATGCTAAAGAAAAAAAAAAAAAATCAGCTCTGTAAAAGTCACCCCAAATAAAGGCTTCTGACTTTCAGAACTGGCATTATAGGTCATACAATTGCTTGGGCATCACTCTTCCACATTTTCTCACTAACACCTACTTAAAAACAAACAAAGAAACAAACAAACAAAAAACCATCTAAAACATGTAACAGAAGATATAGATGGTTTTGCTTTTATTTTTCACATTCAACTTCTATACTTTACCTTCTTCATTTTTGGGCAAAGTAGCAGCAGTCCCAAAAGGGTGCAGTTGTATAGTTAGGATGAAAGAGCCCTCCATTGTAAAATAAGAATAAATAAAAAACCCCATATACTTGGACTCACTGTGCAGTATATTCCTACAAAAGTAAATACGTAAGTTATGGAAGACAGTAAAGCCTGAAACAGGCTTTCTAGAAGTACATACCAGGAACCTCATATATATAAAAATCCAAGTTATACAGATGTATGTCAAAAAAAGAAAAAAAAAAAAGAAAAAGAAAAAAGCTATAAAAGCTATGCCTGGCCTACTTATCTGAAATATGTGCATAAGTGAAGGGATACTCAGACACCCAGTTGTTGTGGGGCTGTGATAGGGATGCAAGTCAGACAAATTTGCTTTGCTCTTTTGATTATTTATTTACACATATGCATACAAGAACCACTGGGTCAGTCCCAGTTCTGTTACTTACAATGCACTACTAGAAATCACAGCTTCTATAAAAACCAAATCAGAAAACAACAACAAAACCCCAACTTGTTGAAAAATATAGAAAGTGAAGATTCATTCCTTAAGTCACATTTAAAAGAACTCCACAACTATTAATATAGTTATCTTTCATATTTACTGCCAGGCAAATTCCTTATGCTTACCCCTACATATACCGGCAGAGATATTAATCTTGAACATACCTCTTGACTTGCACTGATTTACAGGAGGCTTTGGTGTCTACACCAACAAATTATGAATAAGAGAAACAAAAAAAAATGAAATAGAAAGTCATTTTTAAGCATTTGTTATAGTTCCTTGGGACTAAAGATGCTGTCCTTCAAACAGCTTTTCTCATAGCTAAGACTGTACAATTTTTAAAATTTTCAAAGCTTTCTATGATCCTCTGTGGAACACTGTCTATATCTACAAACCTATCTCTACAACAAGGTCTCTAGATTAACCTCTACCACGTCACAGTAAAACAAGTAAGGCAGCCTGCGTAGTATCATGCCAAAAAGATCTGTTTTATCAAGCTGTCAGTACCAATTTGACTGATAGCTTCAAAGGTAAATATTTTCCCAGTACAACAAATATTGAGCCATTGGGAACCTCATTTCCCAAATTATTCTGACGTGAAGAGTAAAATTTTCAGGGTAGCATCTACCGTAGCTCTGCCAATTGTAACTCTCATTAAGTTTGCACAAGCAACGAAAAAAGTATGCAGCTTTTAAATATCAAATTAATATTTAATTTTTTCCATGATAAACAATTAACTTTCACGAGGCCAAGAAGTACAATTGTAACTAGTAATAAATCTGTAAAATCCTTATGAAGTGACAGAATTAATGTAAAATGTTTGTTTTGTTTTTCTAGCAGAGTGAGTCACATAGAAGATACAGCCTTACCTTGGCTGAGTGCTCCATGGTGACAACCACTTTTGTCTGGGCACTAGATACCAGATCCATGGCACCTCCCATTCCCTTCACCATTTTACCCTGAAATCAAAATTTTAATAGAAATGTAACATTTGTACTAAAAAGGAAAATAAAAAGACACAGCAAAAACAATACACAGGTTGCAATGGCAGGACAAGATAATCAGCTTTCTTCTGAGCAGTAAACTGTTATCACACTGTATTAAAAAGCTACTGTTTTTCTCATTTTGGGGTCTACATGTGATGCAAACAGAAGAATAATAAGTGGAACAAGGGCTCACTGTCACCTGCAATGTCACAGTGTAACTTATATCAGAGTAGTGCCAGTGACTTCATGGGAGCCCTGACACTCAGAAACAGTGAATCTTGTTATAGGGGGGTCTATCACTTAAAATGAAGCATTCATTCTCACAATTATAGAAATGTCATTATTGCCTCAAAAGAAAATCTTTGCATTTGAACATAGCAACAAGGACATCTTAGCACTCTTTACCTTGAAGTTTAGAAGGACATTGCTTGTAACACTATATCATCACAAACCACTCCTTTTATTCCATTGCAGATGTATTTGGATGTCATTTCAGATCATGGACAAATAAATGAGTTTGGAGCATTATTCACTCCAGTTAGTCCCTCAGACCAAGCAATGCATTTTGCCTCTGAGACTCATTCTTCTTTCAAGGAGTGTCAAAACTGCACCTGTTGTAATAGCAGCTGTATTATGGTGTGCAGATATGCCTAATTCTGCTTTTTATATTGCTATGGCATTCAGTCCCTGCCTGCTTCCACCATCTTAAACTGAACACATATGATCTTGGAAGGTAAGCAGTTCAGGCTTGGCAAACTTCTGATGTGCAACATTTGTAAGTATAGTATTCTATTAGTACAAGGAGAGTAGTTATTTTTAGACTGCAAACGCCAGACACCCCAAGAAAACAGAAGGCAATGACCTCACATCACTCCTGAGTCACTTGGGAAAGGACCTGGTATGACAGTGAAGGTTAGAAGAAGCATGAGGAAAGGAATTTTGGAGATCAAAATAAACTATTTTTGTCCCAAACGCTTCATATTTCCTCTGTTTTCACACTTGCTATCTTTCATTAAAATAAATTGTGGACAGAAATATGGTTATGCTGTTTTAAATACGAAATCTAAAAGTATATGATTCAACAACATGGGACTTCCTACTGTAAAGTTTTTCTCTTGTGCTTCCACTTATTAGGCAGGCAGTTCAGTACCTTACTAGCTATGGCTCATGATACAGAGCATATGGAAGAGATTTGTCTCATTAAGCTGTCAAGACAGCAATTTAATGAAAGCTTCTTCATCAAACCAAAGGCAATATATATTAAAAAAAAAAATTGTTTTCCACAGTGAAGAATAAATCACGTCTTCCAGTATCTATAAACAACTCCTTCAAAATTTCTTGTATCAGAGTAATATTAATCACATTAATTAACATTACTACTAAATACTCTTTTGCAAATACATAACGGCAATGAGAGGATTTCTCTGTACTTAACTTCCTGGCACTGCTCTTATAATTCTCCAACCTACTCTGAAATACAGAGCTCTCACAGAAACTGCAGTGACCTCTTGTCAGCCTGCCAAAGACTCACTGACGAGTAACTGAAGACGACACATTATCTCCGTAGTAACTCAAGAATGTGTTTGCACTCAGGATTATGCTATCAGTACATTCACCCTGGCAATGTCATTAGCTGGTTCTACCAGGCCTTTTAGCTCTAATACCTAAAGGGCTACAGCAGCTAGGAAACATCTGAAGAAATAAAAGCAGATGAAAGTACATTTTTTCTCATCTGACATCTTCACATCTGAACACCATTTGGGTGGTCAAAATACAACATTAAAGAGTCTAAGTAAGCCATTTTGTTTAATAATGATTCCTAAGCAGCAGCCTTTCTGTAGGTCTGATGGGAGTACCAATGATAACTTACAGCATTCGAACAGAAGTCTGTGAGTACTCTAAGGTACTAAGTACCTTAGAGGATGAGATAGTCAAGATACAACATATTTTTAAGAGAATGAAGTTTTTCCCAAAATGATATAGTAAGTCATAAAGATACTGTATAGCAAGATGGTTACTATGCATATGGGTATTTCAAACAGAGTAAAGAGAGGTGCCTGATAGAAAAGAGGAAGCCTTTTCAAACACTATCAGAGTCTTGAATCCATCCTCTTGCTCTGCATGCTTCCTATTTCTCCTGAAGGCCAGATCTTCTCTTCCATAGCTGGTATTTATGGCTACTCTCAACATCATAGGATAAAATGCATCTCAACTGGTCTGGCTAAGTTAAAAGAACATAATCTTTTGAAACAAACAGCACATAAACTGAGCATCAAAGCAGACACTAATGATGCATTCAAGAAACAGTGATATACACAGCACAACAAAAAAGATAATCAGAATCACATGCAATTAACCAGAAGTATCATACATGACATTTTTCATACTACCACTGATCATAGCATTATAAAAGATGTCAATCAGAAGGTAACATCAAAAAATATGCATAAATCCACTCTAACTGAATAGAAACCACAATCCTTTGTCCACTGCTTATAGCCATATGCTGTGTTTAAAAGAAAAGTAGGCTTATAGTTGATTCCAAAATGAAAGCTACGCCTGCTATTTCACTTTTGACTTCTGCAAAAAAGATTGGATGAAGACAATCAAGAAAGATGGATAAAGTTGAAGAATGTTGAAATGTTCTGAAATATACTTGGTTTGTCCTTTTTCCTCCTCTGATATTTATGACTTTGTGTTGCAATTACAGAATTAATGTAACTTTATTATCAGCTATGACTGCTGGATTAGATTCTACTGAGTACAACTGAATAACCATTAGTAAGAAACACCAGGAAACTATTAAGAGTTTTGAATCAGCAGAGTGAGCAATGGAACACAAGCATTCAATACTGACTGAATGCAACTATTTGAGTCCAGCACTGTTATGCACATATACACAACATGCTGAAGTTCTTTCTTTGTTTGCTTGTTTTTTTAGAGGATGTTTAAAATAATGTCTTAGTTCCGTGGCTTAGCCATGCAGAGAATTACCTGATTTTCAAGAATGTTGACCAGGTATTTCCTGTCATACATGACAGAAATTAAAATAAAAAATTCAGTAAAACCTTAGAGAAGATGGAATACAAGTTCTCAAGTGACCAATAACTCTTGGCAACATTTATTAATACATTTTCATTAAAATGTAATATGCACAAATAAGTGCACTAACTATGGCTTGGATTGAAAAGGACCTCAAGCATCATCAACTTCCAATCCCCTGTCACAGGTAGAGCCGCCAACCACTAAGTGAAGCACTAGATCAGATTGCCCAGGGCTCCATCCACTCTGGCCTTAAACTACTCCAATACCTCACCACTCTCTGAGCAAAAATCTTCTTTCTTCACATCTAATCTAAATAACCCCTCCTTTCATTTAAAACCATTCTCTCTCCCTATCACTATCTACCCACATAAAAAGCTGATTTTCTTCATGTTTATATACTCCCTTTAAATTCCAGAAGACTGCAACAAGTTCTTCCCCCAGCCTTTTCTTTTCCAGGCTGAACAAGCCCAGTTCCTTCAGCTCCAGCACTCGGATCACCTTCAAGGCCCTCTTCTGGACCCACACCAAAAGCTCCAGATCTTTCATGTATTGGGGGATCTAGACGTTGATACAGTACTCTGCCTGGGGCTCGTGAGGTTAGAGTAGAGTGAGACAATCACATTCCTTATTCTGTTGGCCAGCCCTCTTCTGATGCAGAACACCATTGGCCTTCCAGGCTGCAAGCTCACACTGCTGGCTCATGTAAAGTTTTTCACCAACCAGATCCCCACAAGTCCTTCTCAACTGGTCTCAAGGAGTTCTTTTCCTAGTTTGTATATATATCTGGGATTACCTCAACCCAAGCGCAAAACCTTGCACTATACTGAACCTCATTAGATTCACAAGGGCCCACTTTTGAGTTTATCAAGGTCCTTCTGGATGGCACCCCCTCCTTCTGCTGTATCAACCACACCTCTCAGCTTGGTGTCATCAGCAAATTTGCTGAGAGTACATTCTATCCCATTATCTATGTCACTGATAAAAATACTAAGGAGTGCCAGTCCCAAGATGGACTTCTGGAGGATACCACTCATTACTCGCCTACGTATTTATATAGTTACTTTCTATGAACAGAAAATGAAGACAGCATAATGCAAATGCAAAGAACATTAGTCAAATTTTATCTACTTCCTATAAAACTAAACTGAAGTAAATGCTAGCAACAGTTTCAGATGATTGAGAGAAATTCTAATGAATGCACTGAGAAACTATATCTCAAGAGCATCTCAGAGCAGATTGTGGCATAGTTCATTGACATTGATGGACTTCATAATGATGAATATTATTTCAGTGTAATGCAGAAGTAATGTCTTCCATTTTCCTCTGTATAACATTCCCCAACACACAGCACATTGTGCAATAATTGAATATTGGCTGCATACAGTAGTCACCATTGTTACCACTAACCCACAGATCAGGAGTCTTCTGGTATTTGTTAGTATTTTGAGGTCAAACAGAATTTCATCATCTGCTCTCATTACATAGATGCCTACTGCATACCTGCCACTTTCCACAACAAAAATTTAAGAGAGAATATGAATAAAATATGAAGAGTGGGTTCCTACAGTCCCTCCATCATGCAGTCTGACAAAGAAGAATGAATACAAATGGTATAGAAAAGCCCTCAAAAAGTTAGGAGAGCTACAGCCAACACAAAACTCTTCCTTTATCCTTTAAGGCTCCCGACACTTCCAACAGTAGTAATTTCATGCTACAAGGGCTTTGCAGGGCTTCTAGGCAAAGGGCTTCCATCACTCTGCGGGATTTCTATCTACTGGGATAGGAACAGTTACTTGATATATTACTGCAGTCTTTGATCCAAAACAGTTGTCCCTGAAAAACCGACATCTAAAATGTTAGGAAATTGCTTTTCCAAAAGAGTGGTCAAGCACAGGACTGGGCTGCCCAGGGAAGTGGTGGAGTCACCA